TCCTAGTTATTCCAGGATTCATATTAAGCTATGAACATTATTAGGTTTAAATATAAAAGGTCAAAATATTAAAATAATATATATTAATTAATTGTTTATAAGTATATTACTCATAAACTGAGTAACATTATAATTTATCATAGACAATATTATTATGAACCTAGTCTGTTTCAAAAGATAACTGTCACTTTTCGATTATACAACTGATGGCTGCGGTAGTGCAAAGGCCAAACTTCCCCAACCTTGATAGCCAATATTTCTTGAAGACTCTGATTATTGTTGGCTAGGAAGGTGGGGGGATGTTTGGCCTTTGTACTGCCACAGCCATCAGTTGTATGCGCAAAAAGTAACCGTTCTCTTTTGGAACAGAGTATAAGTTAGAAATTAACCATTTTTACTTACCCGCCATTCGTCGATATGGTTTCATAGGATTAGGAAGTAATTCATCATACATTTGTTTAGTAATAGGAACATTATCACAAATTTTTTCTATTATATCATTTGAAGCTACAGATACTTCTATACTACAAGCCTTATTATTGACTTTTTTTTTATCCATTTGAATAGTTATTGATCGGTGACCTGGTTTTCTGAAATTGAAAAAAAAAAATACATATATTATAATTATAATATATACACATTTTAAATTTCAGATTAAGAAGAAAAATGCAATTAATCATTTAAATTTAATATATCTTAGTAGAAATGTAAATATTCATTTGTTAAAATCCCTCCAACTCTATAATATACTTTTAAACAATAATATAATGCAGAAAAACATCATTTTAGAACAAAGTTAAACCTTAAATGACACAACTTTTGTCAAATTACATCAATGTTAAGAAAGACTGAAATAGTGTTGAACTGTTTAGGTTAGAATATATTATCATTAATTTATTAATAACTAATTCCTGTTAAACTTTTATTACAGCAAAAGGGTTTTTACCATTTAATTCAAAGAAACAAGGGAAATGGATGAGCCAGTGGTTTCTAAAATTGTGTACTAATGTCAAATGTATCAATAAATAAATTATTATAAAAACATGTTAAACACTAATCAAATCACACAAATTTAATTTTTATAATTAAATAATAATTGTTTAAATAATTAAATTAAACTGATTTATTGATAAAGTATTTATACTCTGTTCCACGATAGATCATGCAGTGCAGTGTCCAAAACTGGTTCCCCATGCCACACCATATCATAGGGGAACCAGATTCGACAGGAGGGTGGCGTAGAGGGATGTGCAGAACTGGCATGTTCTCTCGTGAAACAGAGTATAGTACTATTAAATACATTAAATAACAAAATACAATTGTAACAACTACAAAGTACAACTTAAATTACCATTCACCTTTGATCATATACTATGGATGGAGCTTTGCCTATTTTACCCATTCACAATTTTAAGCACATATAATAAGGATCTGAAGGAGATGCATGATATGAGAATGCGTTAGGCGAACTGTCACATGTTTAGCTGTTGGTATACATTCATAAATGTATATATCAATTCACATAATATATAAATATGCAGCATTCTTATTACGCGTACACAGTTCTCTTTGCACATCAAGCATCTCTGTCAGAGACTCGTATATGTACTTCAAGTAATCAAGACATGGTCTATCCATGCTATATGATCAAATCTATTCACTTATAATTTTCTTAAATGTTTATTTGGAGTATTTTGTCTTTGATATGAATACATTATTTAACATTATGCAACTTTTTTTTTAATGCTTCAAGAATATAAATTTGCTAAACTATACTTTGTTTTCAATTATATATTTTTAAAAACTAATATTATTAAAATGTATATTTAAATTGATAGGTACCATAAGATTTAAAAACATACTGAAATTATTAGTCCTCTAATGTGTTACATTCAATTTGATATTATACTAAATTATAACCTACTAATATACTAGTAAATAACTAATAAACATTTTAAAACATGTTTTCTTTAAATATCTCGTAAAATAAAACGATGATTCAATTAATACAGTTGAGAACAGTTGTATTTTAGATAAATATAAAGGATGGAATAATTAAAAAATATTTTGTGTAAAGTATTTAGATAGGTAAAGAAACAAATAAAACTTGAATATATATTTTACATAATATATAAAATTATTTTCTAATAAAGTGATACTAACCCATAACTTTTAGATTTTAATCCAAGTTCAGCACTTTTTAAATGCAAGTATTTACGTTCTTCCGATGTCAATGATGATGGAAACGTATAAGCTAAAACAAAATAATATATATTTTTAAATATTTACAATAGAAATTATTAATAATTCAACATACAATACATTTTAATCTAATATTAAATAATAAGAAATGTTAAAATACTCAATAAAGAATAGAATGGTAAATACTATTATGTGGTAAATTAATATATTATTTGAGATATGACGTTTTAAATGTTGTATGAAATTAATTTTAAAAAAATTATTGAAGAAAGTTTACCTGAAAAAGTTAAAATATTGAAAATGTGAACTGAACTTACAGAATTAATAAAATGATAGAGAACAATAGCAATATTGTCATTAGAAGTTCCAAAGGAATGACATTCCTTTTTTTTTTTAAATATTTATAATTTTTTAAAGCATGAACTTTCATATTGAAATTTTAATTTTATACTTAATGTATAATATAGTAACCATTATTATTTAATATAATATTATTATTTGGAGTATAAACAATAACTTAAATAGTATTAAAGAATTAATAAAAATAATAATATAAGCATCTTTATAAGTACAAAACATAATTAGGGTTTAACCAGTTTGAAAAATAGTAAATAGCAAAACATAAATAAAATACATTTATATGTTATAAGTTATAACTATTAAAATTCTTATTTTTAGAATTTTTAAATATAAAGACCTTATTTGGAAGTTCTTTAGATTATTTGTACTACTTAATATGGAGTGTCCTGTGGAAAAACAAATTTCTGTTTTTCAAATGATAACTTACTTTCCCCGCTGTTGTTTAATAGATTATGTTTTTGGACATTTCGATATACCTAATCCAAAATTTGAAGTATTTTTTCAGTTATTAAAATATTAATATTAAGAATAAGTCCTAAGAAATATAAAATAGATGTTATGACGGGGGATACAGTATTTAATAAACTTGGATTTTTTTTCAAATTATAAATATTGATACATTAATATAAATTACTAAAATAGTAAAATGTTCAAATAACCATAGACCTCACATCTTACAAACTCATTATCATAAACCTATATTCTTACTTTTTAGTACACAAAGTTAAATAACTTAACTATTTGTTCAAATTTTGATTTTGATACATCAAAAAGGTTAAACAAAATTATGGACTAAATAATTTATAGGAGAAAAGGGGGGTTGTAATTTGAAAAACAGAAGTATGTATCTCCACAGGAACCTTAGTAGTACAAACAAATCTCAAAAATTTTAAAATATGGTCTTTAAGTACATAAAAAAGTTCCAATAATCAGATTTTGAAAAACCACAACATTGAAGAAGAAAAAGGGGGCGAGCGTGCACCCTGTACAATAAGTTATTACGAATCAAATCTGTATGTGATTGTATTTCTAGAGTTTGTAGAATGCAATTAATTAATTAGGTAGTTAAATTTACATTTCGTATCAGATGAAATGAATTTCTGCAATTGATGCAACAAGGAATCTCGACTATCTTGTGATAAATTTCTGATTGGTGGAGACCTGGAAATATCATAAAATTACATATAAATCTCATACAGTGAATATCAATATTATAGCAAATAAGCAATAGGTAAAACGTAATAATAAACATGTATTAAACAATAACGCTTTTAATTCTACTAAAGGTAAATAAAATCATACATTGTAGCGAGGGTTATACTTTAACAAACTTTAAAAAATGATATCACTGAATATATGTCAACACGTATGAGTTTCGCGAACAAATTTCTGAATCTTAAATTAATCCATTACATTGTAATTAATTATACAATTGAAAAATTGACATTTGAGATTTCACAGAGCTTATATGTAACTTGTATCACAAAATAAACTTAATAAAATGATTTTAAAAACAAACGTTTCAAACCAAATCATGAAAACATTGAAGATTGAACCTGAAAAACCGCAAATACTACAAAATGCAGTGTAGGAACACTTATATTATAAGTTGGTGACATTGTATTTAGGTACCACAACCACGGTAAGCTCGGGTAGAACCATGGTTGAAAAAATGTTTCCTGTACGATCCCATTCTGACCACGGTTTAGAGGACGCTGTACCCGCATGCGTTGTCTCCGTCTTACAAATGCACAACATAGCAAAAAACTGTTTCGAGCGGGAAAGAACCGAGAAGACTAAATTCAAAACTAAAGCCGCGGTCGCACGATGATAGTTAAACGCGATAGTTACTATCGTGAAAGCTGCTATCAAGACACTATCATCGTGCGAACCGATCGATAGTGACTATCACGGACTAAGATATATCTTAGTCCGTGGTGACTATCAAACTATCACGAAAGCGACTCTCGTACTATCATGCGTGCATGATAGTGTGAGAGTAGATTTCACGATAGTGATAATAATTATCATCGTGCGGACAGTCGAATACCTATACTATCATACTATCGTAGTGTTTGTGCATTTTTTTTTATTAAAATAAAAATTACGCTGTTTCTAGAGCACCTGGCGCCCGGACAGATAATAGAGCACCGGGCGCCCGGTAACACTGTAGAGTACCGGGTCACACTGTAAAAAACACACGCTTCATTTGAATATTGGCGTCTAATTTAAATATGTAATAATAGTTATTTTATTAGGAAAACCTTAATCGTTTATTTGGCCTTACTAACCTTTATAGGTATCTTTCCCTTCAACCTCATGGCGAGTGTAGTACAGTACAGCTCAGTATAAAATATAGTTTTCAGTTTTGTTTTTTTCAAAGTTTAAAGTTTTTTCAAAGTTTAAATTTTTTTCAAAGTTTAAAGTTTTTTTCAAATATGAAACTTTTTGATGTTTTTTCTTCATTTGATGAATTTGAAAGTGTTTTAAGTCACTACAAAGACAAAAATTATGTCGACTATTATATTAAAGACTGCAAGACCCTGGCATCAATCAATGCTAAATTCCCAAATGGGAAAATGGTAACAGCATCAACCAAAATTAAGTATTATTATATTAAATTATGGTGTGTGCATGGAGGATGCCACAAAAAAAAAAAAAATACTTTAGACCAACGTGTCACCTCGTAAGTACATTTATAGTTCATACATATTTTATTTTATATTACTTAGTTACAATATATGAAATATATAAATAAATTTGTATTCAAATGTTTAAGTACAATGCGCCAAGGTTGTGAAGCTTTTATATATTTAAAAGCTTCAGCAAATGGACAACAGTTAGAAATAACTAAAATGGACGAGACTCATAACCACGAGACCTCAAAAATATTGTACAGCCATCTTCCCAATCAGAGAAAGATCACACCGGAAAACAAGGCCATAGTTATAGAGTTGATGGATATGAAGGCGAACAAAAAACTTATACAGGAAAAAATAATGAAAGAAAGCGGTAAAATAGTTACACTAAAGGATTTATCCAACATCCGTACCACAGCTGGTAAGAAAAATAATATTTTAGTTTAGTGCTTTTGATATTTCTAGTTTTTTTTTGTAGGAAATCATTGTTCAAAAAATGATTTAACCGAAGTTGTAACTAAATTAAAGGTGCTCTATTATCCATCCGGGCGCCCGGTGCTCTAATATCGAACCGGGCGCCCGGTGCTCTAGACACAGCGTAAAAATTAAGAACGTATTTTATAATTTACGAATAAAAATGTCTGATACATTTGATATTTATAAGTTCCTGGAAGACTACCAGAGATTTCCATGTCTCTGGCTAAAAAGTGACCCAGATTTTAAATTACGGCATAAACGTGATGCAGCGGAAGAACTTCTTTTGGAAAGTTCTGGCCTAGAAACAATAAAAAATCTACGACTGAAAATAAGAAGTATAAGGTAATTTAATATTAGTTATTTTATTTACATACTAATATTACTTTTTAGTACCTATAATAGAATATATTTTTAGTATAGGTACCTAGGTAGGTAAGTTATTTTAGTCAAAACTTGTTTACTTGATACTTCAAAACAAAGTAAGCACAATCATTAATTTCAATCAATTTATATTACATAGGGGTAACTACATATATTACATATAACATAGGGGTAACTCTTAATGTCGAAGCTGTTCAGAATTTTTTTCTTCGTTTTTTAGCATTTAAATTTAAAGGCAAACATCCACGTCATTCACATTATAATGTAATATTATCATATTTCAATATACAATCGCTAAATAAAAGGAGAAGTATCCTTTATTATTTATTTTTATTAAAACAATTAAAACTATAGATTTCCCTTATTTACTGGAACAATTAAATTTTCGAATTAATACATAATCTACCAGAAATCGAGAAAGTTTTTCTATTGTATCGGTGTCACTACATAATTGTATATATATATTGTTTTGTAAATGGAGTTTCTTCCATCAATAAAGATAATAATAATGATTTTAATATATTATTAGATGTACATATAACCAGGAAGTAACAAAAATTAACAAATCAAAGTCTACAGGATCTGGTACTGCAAATGTTTATGTTCCAAAACTGCAATGGTTTGTGTATGCTGACAATTTTTTGAAAAAAAATAATGATGGTGTTAAACAATCAGAAACAAATCTAGTAAGTTTTCAAGTTTTTTAAAAATATATTTATTTACTACAATATTAATAATTTATTGGATCTGTTATAGTTATAAAATCTTGTTTTCAAAAAATGTATACATTTTGTATTAAATCATTCGATTCTGCCAATTTACTGCTCCTTCTCCTACAAAATAATCAGCCAAGCTATTTCTTTTATCTTTTGCTTCTGTATTAGAATTTCGCTGCAACATTGTTCCAAAATGCTGTAAACCTGTAATACTCGTATCATTCCTCCATGAGCCATTAAGAAGACGTCCAGTTTCTGTATCTTCTATATCTACAGATATTGAGTTTGGATTCTTTCCATTTTTCCTGATCCAGTTATGAAGTGCACAAGCTGCTTTTACTAACTGTATTGTATTTTCTGGTGTTAGGGCCGTTACACACGAGCGATATTTCATCGTACGATTAATTTATCGCACGAAAATATTATCGCACGATATTTGAATTTACATGTTTATAAATAGAGCTGTTCACACGATCACGATAAAATGTCGTACGATAAGATAATCGTACGTCACCTCGAAAACTGTCGGATGCACTTTAATATTCCAGACGATAAAAATATCGTACGACTAAAATATCTCAATCGAAATGTACAGAAATAAATTGATTAAAACACACGAACGATCATTATCGTTTGATAAACCAAAAAAACAAACTCAGTACCATGTCATCCTCCGATGAATGCAACCGCTCTGGCGGAGCGAATACGCCATCGCCGAAAATTTGTGAATTTTCAGACGACAATTTAAATATAGATATAGATGTACTTATCAGTGAAGTTCAATCAAGAGCCCTTCTTTGGGATAAAAGCCTGGATCAATATTCAGATAGAAATTTAAAAAGAGCGGCTTGGGAAGAAATATGTGTTTTATTATATCCAGATTTCAATAAGATCTCTAGGCAGCAACAAAAACAAATTGGTAAGTAGTTGACATTTTATTTCTTATTTAAACGTTGTGTAATAATATAATATTCAATTTAATAATTTCTCATAATTTTATATTTATGTCATCAGCATTATATTATTATTATATTATAAGAATAGTTATATTATATTATTTTAAGTCAATACTTAAACTATTTAAGCAAAAATTATATTATGGCAGAAAAATCGATATTAATAACTAATAAGTAATATTTAAAATTAGAAAAATAATAATTATTATAACTTAACTATTTTCCATATTGCCATGGTATAGCTCCTATGGTATGAAAGTAATCTGCAAATGTATTTCTTATGTCACTTGCGAATCTACTGCCGCGGTTGATGTTATTAGGTCTTTCAATTTCATTGAACCCATCAATAGTTAGCGTGTCTTGAAAAACATATCCATTTTTTTCACGTACATAATTATGCAATACACAACAAGCTTTCGTAATATCAACCGCCAAATCTGTGGTAACGTTTAAAGGTCTATGAAAAATCCTCCATTTATTTGATAAAATTCCGAAAGCACATTCCACATATCTTCGTGCACGAGACAAACGGTAGTTAAAAATTTTTTTTTTTTCCGATAAATTTCTTCCTGCGTAGGGTCGTAGTACGTTTTTTGATAGACCAAAAGCTTCATCGCCAACAAATACATATGGAACAGTTTCATTCGTATTCGGTAATTGAGATGGTCTGGGAATATGTAGTGATTCATTGGCTAATAAAGTTCCGAACGATGAATTTTTGAAAATAGTGGAGTCGGAGTCCTTCCCAAATGATCCCACATCAACATATATAAACCTATAGTCTGAATCCACAACTGCTAATAAGACAATTGAGAAATAATGTTTATAGTTATAATGCTGACTACCAGTTCCAGTGGGTTTAATTATACGAATGTGTTTTCCGTCCACAGCTCCTAAGCAATTAGGGAAATTCGCTCGTTGTTCAAAACCAGTAGAAATATTTTGCCAATATTGATCTGTAAAAGAAGGCATGTAAACTTCAACTAATTCATCCCATATTACAATACAAACTTCCCGAATAATCTGAGCAATTGTTGATGTTCCTAATTTGTAGGAATAATGCAAATCTGTGAATGTACACCCAGACCCAAGGTATCTGAAATATTAAATAATAAGTTGTCTTAATTTTAAAATGTATAAAACATTATATATTAATATATATGTTACTGGTAAAGTATAGATAGTGCAATTTTATATGTTTTTATATAATTTTTGAACTCTGACATTTTTTAGATTATTTAAATAATATAATATAATATGTATCAGTAGCTAAATTTTAAACACCACCACTGTTACAGTTAAATGCATTATATTATATCGTCGTATATATTAAATAGTTTATTGCTATATGTAATTTGAGATTCGATATTCAAATTATTAATTAATTATAGGAGACAGCATAGAAAAGAAATGGAGGAATCTTAGAGATGCGTTCACTAGAAGCTTAAAAGAGGATAAGCCCAAATCAGGAGATGGCGCAAAAAAAAAATATAAAAAACAATATTTATACCATGAACAAATGAGATTCCTGATAAACACAATTACTCCGAGAAAAACTTCAAGTTCTATTAATTTAGATAACACCGAAGTTGATGTGCAGGAAACTGAAATTCAACCTTCAGAAATTGAAGCTGAACCACGTTCTACGTCACAAAATATCCAATCAAATAAAACAAAACAAAACAAACAAAAAGAAACAAATCTTGAAAAGAAATTTATGCAATATTTAGATGCACAAACTCAAAAAGAAATTTTTGATGAAAAACCAGATGAACATCAACATTTTTTTCATTCTTTGTTACCCATTATACGAAAATTTAATGACGACGAAACACTTATATTCAGAACAGAAGTACTTAGAATTGCACAAACAATAAAACAAAATCAAATTTCATCAGAAACACTCCAGCTACAACACACAGCGTCAGTACTTCCCACACATCATCCACAATATTTATACCAAGCAAGCCCTTCGTATAGAATGTACTCAAATAACAATCAATTTGTAGCTTCACATAGTCCAAGTATTCAACATCAAACTGTATTACAACATATGAATTTTCAACACAACACATCTGCACAGGGGTCACCTAACTATCCAATCCGCTCAACTCATCAAAATTATGCATCTAGTCATCAACCAATTGTGTCCAATCAGAACGATACATCAAAATATTTTAGTGCCATACAACCTATATCTACACAACATTCGAGTGTTGTTTCCCCTTCGTCATCAAACTACACAAACATCGAATCTCCTGAAGATTCGCAGCCTCGTTCACGTCCCGAGTCACAGTCTTCCTTCATAAACGAGTTTCTTATATAGCTATTAATTCTCAGCATCCACGTATCGACTTAATTTAAGGAAAAGTTCATGAAATATTGAATTGAAAAAAGTTAAAATGTTGTTTTGTTTACTTAAAAGTTATGTTTTTCAGTTATATCCATTTTTACAAAGATTAAAATTTTTTTGTTTAACTTTATTTTTACTTGTTTTCATTTGTTAATAAATTGTTAAAATTTGTTGCTAAAAAGTTATGTTTTTCAGTTATATCCATTTTTACAAAGATTAAAATTTTTTTGTTTAACTTTATTTTTACTTGTTTTCATTTGTTAATAAAATGGTAAAATTTGTTGCTAAAAAAAGATTAAAAATATTATATTTACCTCAAAGTGACTGCTAATTTTTCAGCGGGAGTGATAGATTTTCGCATATTTGTATCCAGTTTTGTCAGTTTTTGTCCAACGAATGTTGTAAGTAGTTCATCATATGCAGAAACTGTCATACGGAAATAATTAAAAAATTTTCTTGGATCTCTCCTGAGACCGTGAAAATTTATTGTAAATGCACCTTCTGATAGACGGGTACTTAATAAGGGATGAACCCAAAATTTTCGATTTTGCTGTTTATTTTCTTTTTTTTTTACTAGTAAATTATAACCCATATAAAGAGTTACAATGTTATCCATTGCAGTATTTAGAAATATATTAAATTATTAATAAATTAAAAATTAAATGTATCACAACACTGTATAGTGCAGACGTGTGTCTCGTGCAACTATAGAATTACAAATGCAAAAAATGATAACAGGCGCACACCGGCCGCCATCTTGTGTGTCACACAAAGTTGCTGACATACCTGGTTATTTTATCATGTTACATAGTATCGTACGATAATATTTCCGTACGATAAACAAATCGTACGATGAAATATCGCTCGTGTGTAACGGCCCTTAATGTTATTGGGCGTCTAAATACACGAAAACGACTTGATAGGATACCAAATCCGTTTTCGACTATACGTCTTGCACGACAATGTCTATAATTATAAACCTTTTCTCGTTCTGTTAAATGGTTGCGTCTGGCATAAGGTTTCATTAAATATGGCAGTAACGGAAAAGCATCGTCTCCCAAAATCACAGAATCTGTCGGTATATCCAACACGTTTTCTTCGATTGCCCTTTTTAAAGCAGATTTGGCAAATATACCACCATCAGAATTGCTTCCGTAACTACCAATATCTATGCACGTGAAGTTATAATTATGGTCAACCAGAGCTAATAACACAATACTGAACGTCCCTTTATAGTTGAAATAGTTGGACCCGGAATTTGCTGGACATTCCATAACGATGTGTTTACCATCAACTGCACCGATGCAATTGGGGAAATTCCACAATGAATTAAAACCATCCATTATTTTGTTCCATTTGGATTTCTCACGTGGAACCTGAAAAATTATGTTATAAACTTATTTTTTGCTCTTTCTAATATTACTCCTATTTTTTTAGTTCACAACACCTTCAAACTATTCAAACGATGCTGAAACAATTGTTGGTGCCATAAATAACAATGCTGAAATAATTACTACAGAGCCTGTAAGTGTATGCAACACTGATATACTAAATGATATGAATACATCTACATCTCAATTAGCGAAGCGCATGAAGAAAAAAAGTGGACGAAATGCAAATAAAATATCAAAGATTGATTCCTCGTTAGATAATGCTGTTGAAACACTAAGATCTGTATGCAAACTAAAAGCAACAACTAATGAGTTTAATGTTTTTGGTAATCATGTAGCGGCTCAGTTGGAAAAATTACCATTAAGGCAAGCATTGGTATGCCAAGAAAAGATACAGAGCATGTTGACTAGTGCCCGATTGAACATGATATCTAGACCATTATCACCAGTATCAAGCGAAATATCTCAAACATTTGATGATGATTATGATGTTTTAAGTACAGATAATGATACAATTGAAATTGTGCCACGCTTCGCTCACCCTATAAATGAACCACAGGATAATGCACAACTGTATTATAATAACTGGACTGATAATGATTGTTAATTTCATAAAATTATTATATGTGGTATTAATTATTTAATTTTAAGTGTTTTAAGAGCCAAACATTTATTTTGTTATGTTTTTATTTTGGATACTAAAAATGTCAAGAAGACATTTTTGGATTGTTATTGTTAATCTTATAAAATTATTATATGTGGTATTAACTATTTTATTTTAAATATCATAAAAGTTAAACAAGTTTTTTATTTAAGTTGTTATATTGAAATTGTAAGTAACATACTGTCAAGATTAAAAAATAAATTACAAAAATTCTTATTCAATTTTTGTTCAGTTTTTACCTCAATATATTCTTTCAGTTCTTCAAATATTGCATTGAACACCTCTGGTACAAATTCACTTATTGACGATTTTCCGACCCTATATATGTACTGCAATGTCTTATAGGAATCACCAGTAGCCAAATATCTTAAAGTTACTTGAAGTTTTAACTTAGCAGGTAATGCATTCCTCATAATGGTATTCTGTTTTTGAATCTTAGGTGCCACCTATAAAATTTAAAAAATAAAGTGTTTTGTTGAATATTTTTTTATTTATTGATGAAATATAAGCTTAGAACTTTATATTCTGTACATAGGTAACTATATTATATCTCGGGTGCTTGGTCATAAAGAGTTAAGTCAGATTTTTCAAAAAAATGAGATTTTACTCATTTCAATTTTACATAATTTTGTGTTTTTTTTGGTCCAGACGGTTTAAGTCTTACATATTAATCTTTTAAAAATATATTTTTGGTCATTTAGATTTAAGTCAACATTAGGAATTGAGATATTATAATAAATTATTATCAAAATTATAATAGTATCAATACTATGTACATTTTATTTAACATTTTGGTTTTTTGTGGTTAAAAATAATGTTAAAAAATTGAAGCATATAGGTGGGCCAAATTCACAAACGTAAAAGACAGACTATAAAACATTTGAGAATAACAACATTATTTTGTTTTAATTTTAATTTAAAAAAATTAAAAATCAAAGAGAAATAAGTGAAGATCAAAATGAGTTTAGACATTTTTTCTAGAAAATCTAAACGATTTAAGTACACAAAAATCATGAAAATAATTTAAAATAATTTATTTTTTATGATTTATTTTTAATATACCCATCATATTATTAATTGAATCAACTCCAAAAAAAAATGAATAAAAATGGATTTACACATGACTTATGAATGTTTAGATATTCTGAAAAGTTGATAATTTTGACTTGACACGTTTTGACCAAGCACCGGAGATTATATATACCACAGGAATACTATAGCAGTAACAATCATAAATACTATAAAATATTTACCTTTTGAAGCAATTCATTAAACATCTCTTCGTTTATTCTTAAAAAATTGAAGTAACTTGACGTATCTTCAACTGCTAACTCTTTTAAAAGAGTGTTTGAAATTCCCAATTGGTTTCTTCGCTCAATCCAACTTCACACCCATAATTTTTTTGACTTCTGATTCTTTCTTTTTAAAGTAATCAATTCATTAATTACTTCAACAAGAGCTAGTTCGATTGCATCCGTCGACATTTTCAATATTTTAACAAATAATTATACAATACAAGAATAGTCAGTGACTTGAATACAAATTTTGACAATTTTAATCAATGTATTTGTTCCACCTACTATCACAATTCACTATCACCTTCATACTGCTAGTGTGAACACATTTGATAGTTGGACAGTACTATCACATATTCTCATGATAGTAACTATCGCGTTTTACTATCATCGTGCGACCGCGGCTTAAGAGACGAGATTTTCGCCACATAAAAAGGAGAGCTTTGGCTGTGCAACGTTGTTTATATTTTTTTGATATAGTTTATGTGAAAAAAAATTTTCAAGTTTGAAAAACCCCCAATAATGGTTTTTGAAACGGTTAGAAATTTTTTATATAAGTGATATCAAAAAAAAAAAAAAAAAACCAACGTTGCACGACCAAAGTTCTCCTTTTTACGTTGTGCAAAACTTGTTTCTTAGTAATGACCACGGTCTTAGAAGATATCTTCTAAGACCGTGGTAATGACTGTAGCCACGAATTAAAATATACTGGATACCCAACGATACATGATAAGACGCTCCTAAACTGACTTTCAATGTGCAAAGGTGCACTAGCGCTCCAACGGAATTAAATGTATACTAATGGATTGACTATTTAAAATTTAAAATATTATATTATTATGCATAAAGTATAAATAACAAATAATATGATGATTTTTTCGAATGATTAATTTAAAACATTCAAGCATTTCCTTATTACTGACTACTGTAGTCTGCAATATAATAATTAATAGGTACCATTCTAATTTCTAATTATTCAATATTCTACTATGACAAAATAGATTATTAAAGTGGTAAGTGGAAGGTAAGTAGTATTAACTAATAGCATAGAACAATAGGTACCTAGTAAAAGAAAAATACACATTTAATTATTTAATGAATATCAATTACATCTTTTTTATTACATAGTACATATAATTTTACATATTTATTAATATAGATACCCAATACAAATTGCATAAAATACTTACAAAATTATTAATTACATACCTATACAGTTGAAACTTCAATTAAATTAGTCAACAAATCATGTTTTAACTAATTTGGATAATTTTTTTTTGTTTTACTTTGTTTTTTTGAGTTTTGATTCATAAAGTAAGAATACTGCCTCATTCTCATAGTTATATAATATGAAAAAATATTTGTTAATATATCAGCTTGATGTTCTAAGCAAGGAAACTTTAAACCAATATTCAAGCTAAAAAATTCATTATATGTATCTTCAAACACATCACAAGAAGTGGCATGTTTTGAAAAACATGTTTCAAGATGTTTTAGTATTAAGTATAAATTTCGATCTGGATGAGTTAGGTATCCTCTAGTTTTATTATTAAGTAAATCAGCTTCACTACCGACAAAGTATTTAAATTTTTTATACTTACTATACATAACTGGCACTTAGTACTCTTTACCAATCGTTTAGCAATGTACCTATTTGAAGTAGGTAAATAAGGTAAATAATAGTGTTATTTAATTATCATGTTCAAACAAAAAAATATTTTGAATTAATGAAAAATGGCCAAAATGGGAAATCTATTACAGTTATAAACACGAATTAAGATAAACATCTATTTTAATTCTTGGTTCTAAACAATGTCCAATGATAGTAATTAACATGACGAATTGACGAATCTATTTTGTCATGGTAATTTATTTAATTCCAAATATTTACAAATTTGGCGGTAAATTATTTTGTAAAAGTTGCCACAAATATGATAACAAGCGCTAGGTGTAGTTTGCAACAGCTGTTCTGACAAGTCAGTTTGGGTCCAAGAAAAATAGTTGTTCATATAGGTCGTTGGGTATCCAGTATATTTTAATTCGTGACTGTAGCCTTCTCGGTTCTTTCCCGCGCAAAACAGTTTTCCTACTTTGTACATATTTTGTAAGACGGAGACAACACATGCGGGTGTAGCGTCCTCTTAAAGAATTAAAGATAGTACTTATCGTGACGAATACTGAAATGTTTGTTATTTATTTTTACTTTTTAATTACTTTTCAATGATTTCAAATATTTTTTTTTACTGTAAATTAAAAGGAACTTAAAATTGGATAACTCATGGCCCATAGAAAAAAGTGTCCTGGTATAATAATTATCTTAGTCCGTGATCTTAATTCGTGGTTTTATTCTGTGACAGTGTGATACTCATTGGCTCATCTCAGGGAGTTGACAGGGGGGACTTGTGCACCCCCAAAATATAAAATACTTAATCTATTATATTTTAAAGTAAAAACTATCAATAAATACCAAAACGTACCTTACTGTATATTGAGGAATATAATGTGTGGGTACTTCGCTATTATGTTCCAACTTTCCCAACTATAACAGTATAACATATTTAAGCTTATTTAAATATTTAATGTTTTAGAGAACAGATCACAGATACATTGTTATTACTTATTTGGGTAGCAATAATCATACATTCATACCTAGTAATATTTTACTATGAATCAACAAAATAACTATGAACACGGTGTAACGACATTTCTCTTTATCTTTGGCCGGATAAAAGACGGCCCATGAATGTGAGCTCGTTTACATTGTTTCCGAGTTTATAATTTGTAAGTTATAAGACAAGCGGAATCGTCTAAAATAGCCGAAAATATTTCAGTTAAATTATACCTTTACCAATACCAATAATTTGATACCTCTAAATGCTAATTAAAACATTTTGTAAAATTTCATGTACCTACTGTAATTTTCAATTATTATGTACAAATGTACAATACATATTATTATACTATTTTATTACTATTGACTATTTTATTTATTTTTTTATAATGCTCTAAGTACAATATTTAATACTGTTATTATGTAAAGGTGTCCAAAAGGTTTCACTGTTCTCAATCATTGCCAAGTAATTAATTTATTATTATACTTACAAGAGTAAACTAAAAAAGGAATTTTTCCAATGGGTAATAAGCAATTGTCCTTGAACATGGAAATCAATGTCCCTTTTTAAATGATATCAGCTGTTTTCCATAGCTCATACTCTAAGTGTTTTGAAAATACCATTTTAGTTGATTATTGAGTTGTATCTAACTATAACTACAAACATTCTTTTGTTATAAAGCGTTTAAGTTAAGTTAACTACAAATAAGTGAAGTAAATATTTTCAAATCTAACAAGTCACTTGAAATGTCCACTATTCAAATTTGATCCTTTTATTCAAAAATTTTATACATACATTTATATTTAATGATCTGACAAAATACTAATATTTAACTTTCATATATTCCTATCACCACAGTTTATATTTATTAAATATTTAAAAATGTTAAGAGTACAAAAATAAACAATTTTATTTCAGTTCAAGACTTATACAAGCAAACATTGTGTACATTAATAGTCTAAAATTAAATCATACTTGCAAACTATACACATATATACCTATCATTCTACAAGGTATAATAAAAAAAAAGTATTTG